ACATCTATTTCATTAGAATTTTTGAAGCACCTGTCACCTATCATCATCAGTTTATACATATTTCAAGTTTTCCTGACGAACAAATGTAATAATACAGGTCCATCTGTCCACATGTCTGGGAGGAGAGTGTCCACGTGGCTGTTGGATTACCTGTCTGGACTGCTTCTCCCATTTATTGTTTGGAGTATGTCACCTTCTGTCAATCTAATTACTTCTGTAAGAGCAGCTGTTCCCAGCTCACTGTATGACAATCACTACTTTGTGACTCTACTCCAGAAGCCTCTGCAGTCAATTGATCTAGCCCAAAAGTGTCACTCTCCTGTGGCAAGCTGGCTTCAGTATACAGGCTCACTGAAGATTTGCAGAGTTCTCTGAGGGTAGAGTCTCTTTAGCTACATAGTGAGGGAAGCTGGTGCTTTCAGTGGATTTCTTATATTGTCCTGACATGCAGAATACATCTTCAAAATATCATCAGCTGAGAGATATCATATATACATATATAAAAAGATACTTAAATGCCTACCTATAAGCCTTCTAGTTCTATAAATGAATCACAGTCTAAGTGCCTGCATTACCTGACCAGTGACACGTATGAAAGATCAGAGATGCTTTCAAGGCCAACAGCAGAGATTTTGATTTTGCTAGAAAAAGGCCTGAAGGAATAATGCTTAGTCTCCTTTTAGTAAGCCCTTTAGTTCATATCGACTATTCATTACTGTGAATAGACAGACTTGGCTGGAGCTAACGGTAATTCCTTTGTCATCATTAAACAGCTGTAGATTTTTAATATAATAAAGATAAAACTGTTCTTCTAGATCCACATTCACACTATGGTATTCAAGTTTGTGCCGCCACTTCCATTTTCAGAGCTTTATAATTCCACCATAATCATTTGTTCTTGGCAGAAATATGTTATGCAAGCACTCAGCTGAGGATAATATTTTTGAACAGTTTTTCTAATGTTCTGGTTATGTGATTATGGGAATTTAGAACTCGATATTAATTTACTCTTGGATTGTGTGTTTGTAGATCTCCAAAAGCTCTTTTTTTAAAGAGAGCAGAATTTAGCTTGAATCGTTACTTAAATACTGGTGATATTTATTGCAAAATAATGTAGTCAGATACAAGAAGAATTTATTGAAATGAGCTGCTTATTTCCCCTAGTCAGCATTGATTCTCTTTGCAATTCCATGCTACCAGCCGTGTTTGCTTTTAATAGCTCACATCATGCTCCAGGTACAAAGTGACTTCGTGATCTAATTGGTTTCTTAATCCATGACAAAATTTGATGTCTAGAGGCTGGGTGTAGTGGAGTTTGTAGAGTGCTTGCCTACCATGCACGAAGCCTTTGGATTTGGTCCTTAGCACTGAACAAACTAGGAATGATGGTGTTTGCCTGTAATCCCAGCACTTGGGAGGTGGAGGCAATAGGATCAGGAATTCAAGGTCATCCTCAGCTACATAGCAAGTTTAGAGACAGCCTAGACTACATGAAATCCTGTCTCAAAAACAAATTGGTGTCTAAGAAATATCAATATTTTCTGCATATTTTCATACCTATAATTTTCTTAAAACCTAATTTTTCAAATTTCAATTTCCTTTATGCCAGTATTCAGTGTACTACTGCAGCTGAACATGCATGGGAATGATAGAGTCATTTGAAAAGGCAGGCCCCACGCTGTCCCCCAAGCAGTGACCAATGTTCAGGCATCACATTTGGCCACATTAGCTCAAGAACTGGCATAAGGTTTCCCAAACTCTGTATGAAACACTTGTGAGAGAGAATGAGTTAACATTTGTAGAGATATTTCAACAAAATATAAGTGGTGTTTAAATTTTCATAAACCAAACACAGTATCTACCCCTCAAAAGCTTTGTGAGAATATTTAGCACACATGTATGTGCCAGATGGATTGTAATGACAGTTGATAGGCCTCTTCTAACCCTTGCGTTCTGTTGTCAGAAATTTGTATATCAAAACAATGATAATTTTTACAATAAGATTTATTGGATAAAATACACAGTGAAAAAAACTATTTCCACCGGGTATGGTGGTGCTCGCCTTAAATCCTAGCACTCAGGATGCAGAGGCAGACCCATCTCTGAGAGTTCAAAGCCAGCCTCGTTTACATAATGAGTTCTAGGCCAGCTAGGGCTACAGGGAGACCCTGTCTCAAAAAACAACAACAACAACAAAAAAAGTACTGCCTATTAAGATTCTAAATTAATACCTTGTAAGAGTTAAAGTTAAAGATTAGCATAAGAATATTTGAATATGCCTTATAAAATATAAATAACTTTAGAAAGGGACTATTTTCTTGGCCTTACCTACTTTTTTCTACAAAAGTGAATCTGTGTGGGTGGATATCTTTGTGTGAGATAATACGTGTGTGCTGTGTGTTTTAAGTACTTGTTAGTGTAGGTATGTGCAGTTATGCATGCAGGTGTATGCATGTGTTTGTGGAGGCCAGAAGTCGATGTAGGTATTTTTCCTAGATCACTCTCCAACTTTATTTTTTGAGACAGGGTCTCTCTCTGAACCTGAAATTCATTTATTCAGCTAGACTAAAGGACCAGTCAGGGATCCATCTTTCTCCAATGCCCCAGAGTTTGGAGTTGCAGACACACACCACCAAAGCCCAGCTTTTTACATCAATGCTGGGGACCTGAACTCAGGTTCTCATGCCTGCATAACAGGCATTTTACCCACTGAGACATTTCTCCAGGCCTGTAAGTCAATTATTATAAAAAATATGTGAACTATAATGCAAGATATTCTGAAAGTTTTTTTAAAAGCTCAAGTCAAAGCAGAGACATGTGGCAGTGCAATAAATAAAACACTCTTGAGGCTGAGATAACGCTGACAAAATAGTTTAACTATAGGAACTTAAGTAAATAAAATTATCATCCTGTTGTATTATGATGTCCTTTATAGTATTATTGTAAGACCCACTGAGTACTTATTCTGGGCCAAAAGCTAGGCTATAGATTCATAAGAAGGGGATAGGTGGCCCCTCCAATTACAAATTCTCCAGTATTATAAATGTATATTTTACCATCTTGTGTCAAAATATTCATTTTAATATTCAAACATGTTGCCACAAAATAAGATGTAGCCATGTTTTTTATATTGTACCATTATAAAATTAATAGCTAATTACAGAGCTGTACTATACCTTAGATGTATAGTAGTGAAATAGTAGCTCTCTTGGTTTGATTTTAAGTAAAAACTTTCAGTGCCTCATAATGTAATTTTGACAGTTACAGTTTTGACAATTACAGTTACATTTGCTGCACATTGGTAAGATCCAGTAGATTTAAATTTTTTTTCTTTTGCGGCAGGGTCTCAGTATGTAGCCCTGGGTGGCATGTAGCTCTCCATGTAGACCAGGAGATCTGCCTGCTTCTGCCTCCCAAGTGCTGAGACGAAAGGCATGTGCAACCATGACCAGCTAGTTTTATTTAAGACAGACAGTACATTTTTATTAGTTGTATTTATTATTTTTATTTTATGTGTATGCGTGTATTACCTGCATGTAGGTAAGTGCACCCATGTTGTGCAATGCCCGCAGAGGTCAGAAGAGGTTGTTGGATCCCCTGGGACTGGAATTACAGACAGTTGTTAGCTGCCATGTGTGTGATGGGATTTGAACCCAGGTCTTCTGCAAGAACAACCAGTGTTCCTAACTGCTGAGCCATCTCTCCAGCCCCGACAGGCAGTACTTTTTAAAGACGTGTAGTTTTATTTTCTCCAAATGCGTGGATTAGAGATGGAGTGTTACCTGAGCCTTCGGTCCCTGAACTTGATGATGCAGCTTTTGCTTTGTCATCTGAGTTCCGTGTTGAACAAATGTGAACTCTGCAGAACTTTCTATTAGTGAGAGACACATGGGTATGCCTCTCTTGTAACCAATCTTGGCAATTACCACCAGGAAAAAATAAGAAATATTATGACTCTCTTAATCGTTAACATGCGAAGTTTTAAGACTAGTCAGATGTTTTATGATCTTCAAAACTAAAATCTCAGTAGATTGTGTATAGGTCCATTGCCAACCATTAGTTTATTTAAAAAAAAAAAAAAAGAATAAGACCCAGAACTCCTGACTGGTACATTTCTAAACTGTTAGACTATTGAATGAGTACTTTCCCTTAGTGACAGCTGAGACTAGACCAGACCTACATCCTTGGAGACAGGAGACTGGAGATAAGCCATTGACTTTTTACTCTGATGTGTCAAAAGACAGTCTCAGGCTGATTCTTGCTCCACTGAAGCCAGGAGAACTTTTGCTCTTTGATAGCTCCTGGCTTGGTCACCTATGCAGTGCTGCCGTCCTTACCCAGCTCAGGATAACGAAGCGCTAAGCTCAGCTGTTTCACCATTGCTTCCAGCTCATGTTTAGAAAGATAAGTTCTCAGTGATTTCTAATAATTTCAGTACAGAATCTCATACATACACAGAGCTGTAACAAACAGAAGTAATTCTTACAGATGAGCTTGTTCCTTAACGGTGCCTGGTAAGAATGTTAGCTAGGTTCTTATGCCCTTTGGTTGTTAAGTGCAGGGGGTAGGACAGGACATTAATGCCAACTTGCACATTAAACCCAGAGATGCTTTCCACCATTTCTGCTTTTTTCATCATCACAGATTCTTAAGTCGTCATACAACATCCTGAATATTTACATTTTTGTGGTGGAAGAAAGAATATTATATTGCATTGCAGTTTGCTAGATATTTCTATCTGAATTCTCTATCAAGAGACTTCACTGAACCTTTTTGTTCATTGACTGAATTTAGCTGCAAACAAAATATTTCCATTTCTTTTTTAAACTGGTGATGAACACTGTTGAAATGCATCAGACTCTCCCTGTGATTTCTTTTCCCTAATGTAATATAGCATATGTAATAACCTGAAATATTGGACAGCTTGAATTTCTATAATATCCCTAAATGTCTCTTACAGCATTTGTCTAGATTTGAACTTTCCACATTATGTGTTTCAGACGTTGAGAAAGAAGGGCCTTAATGGCTGTGACAGCCCAGATCCCGATGCAGACGATTCAGTAGGTCACAGCCCTGAGTCTGAGGACAAGTACAGGAAAATTAACGAAGATATTGATCTAATGATCAGCAGGCAAAGATTGTGTGTAAGTACTCGAAACACCCTTCATTTTTTTTACTCTTGATATTTCTCTGAACCTGGCAGGCATTGAACAAGAAAGAAAACAAAGGCTGTGAAAGCCCCGATCCTGACTCCTCTTTTGCACTCACCCCACGCACTGAAGAAAAATACAAAAAAATTAATGAAGAATTTGATAATATGATCAAGAGTCATAAAATTCCTGTAAGTACCAAAGGTAGATGGCTGGTCTGCTGATAACTGCTGCAGTAACATGCTTAACCCTCTCAGTGATGGCTTGCTCTAAGAAGCATTGCAAGGTCAGTCATATGAAATCAAATAGCCATCTCATCCCATGGGCAGTGCATTTAGAAAGCAAACCCTACGGGATACTGAAATTACATAATCTCAAAGAGTTGCCATCGAGAAGTTCATTCAGAGGTAGAGCAGTTCACAGGAGGAAGAGAAAGATCTGTATGACACACCCTGAATTTATGCAATCTTTTAAACAGAAAGTTCTCACACAAATCACAGTACAGTATACTAGTAAAACACTAGAATCACCTTCTACACAAGTTTGAAGATTTATTATGAAATACATATTGTATATTGTGTATATATATATATATATTGTATACAGCGACCAGATTCATGAGTAGAACTGCAGTTCCATCTTCTACACTGACAGTCATCACCTAAGAAAAAGGTGATTTCTGAATGAAATGTCAGCCCCTCCCCCTACACATGAAATTCAACCTCAGCACTGAAGGGTTAAAGCTAATGCACTGCAGGAAACAGACTGCATGAAACCTAATGGTAAGACTTCAATGTTTGCGTGCTGGGGTGATTTCAAAGCTTTTCTCAGAACATTATCTGCTTTGCCTATACCAACATTTTCCATGCTTTAACATTTGGCTAAATTTTGTGTTAACCAGTTCAGAAATTTTCTAACAATCGATCATATGCCTTGCCAGATATTTAAGAAAAATAACTGTGCATGTACTATTTTGTTTGCCCAGATGTATAGGAGAAAAGTGCATACTTTTTTATAATATTCTGTCATCAATTAAGCAATATCAATTTAGTGGCATAAAAGGATTACACTTGAGGCTTATGTGTTATGAGTAATGTAGTGCCTGAACCTTAATGCGTACACAAATTCCTCAGTAGGTAATTCATTCCATTTCAGAAAAGTACATTTTTGGTACATTAGCAGAGCAGCTGGAATGAGGGTAGTGAGAGTAAATCTGCAGGGAAAATGTACTTTGTCAGTTATGCATGTGGATACTGGAGGCCAAAAACTGCTGGCCATGTCCACAACTGCCCTCATGAAATAAATTAATGCTTTCCATAGTCGGAGCCCATTCAACTTTGCTGGATGAAACTGAACCCTTTAAAGTTTATTTGTAAACCATTTGTAAGCCAGTGTGGTGGCAAATGCCATTAATTCCAGCACTCTGAGGCTGAGACAGGTGGAACTCTGTGAGATCTAGGCCAGTCTGGTCTACATAGCTATGAGTTCCAGGACTACTGGGGCTACAGAGAGACCCTCTCTCAAAAATAATTAGAAAACATGTACATATTAAAAGTTCTTTCCTCATAAATATGTATCTTTTTCTTTTGCTAAATGAAACAGTGTCAGCAGTACAGCTTTTGTTGAATTTTAATACACTTTTGGGTCAACGCTTTTGTTCCACCCAAGTATGCTAATGCGCCACATTCACAGTACACACTTCACTTTCTGAAGAATTTCCTGTACTTTGCCAGATGTACACAAAATTCTGAAATGATGAAGTATCCATCCAAATTTTATCTTACCCAGAAAAAGAAAATAAACAGTTCCTTTGGGTCAGCTTTTAGTTCTATGGTCTGAGTTTCTCTCTCTCTCTCTCTCTCTCTCTCTCTCTCTCTCTCTGTATGTGTGTATCACATGGACAACTTTGGGTATCATTTCTTGGGAGTTTTATATATCACTGCTTTGGAACTGTGTACACAAAGGTTTGAACTTAGAACTGTAAGGAAAAACACCTTCAACATTACAACTATAAAGAATCTCCTGCACAGCTGGTTAAAAGGTACATCTGTAATGTTGCTGATAATTCCTAATAAAGAGGATCCTAGATATGGACAGTGATTGAACCCACAAAGTTTCAGGGGAATGTGCATGAATCATTTTCCCTACAGTTCCCTCAGAATATTTCACGCTGTCATGTAAAAAGTTCAAAATCAAGATACATGATTTGTTAAGAGGTGCAGGGGTGTGTGGCAGATGAGAAACCGCAATAGAGTGCATGGGCAGAGCAGTCAGAAGGAGACCCACAGCCTCTGGCTGGGCCACTGAGCCACAGAGTCCAGTGAGTGCTTCAGTCCCTACGATGAAAAGCCCAGTTTTTGCACATTGACCTCAGTCTCTGGAAGTGAGTCTTGTTGAAAGTTTCCACAGCTGCTAAAACATTTACAGCAAAGCAAGGACACTCTGCCCTTTGTGTGTAGAGAGTGTCTCCACCTCTTTAAAAACATTACAAGAGTGTTTTGCTATTTCAAAGACCCAGTTTGAAACATTTCCCTTTTAAAATAGAAAACTTAATATTGCAGTCACCTGTTGGAATAATATAATTTATGCCCATATTCCTCAATTACGTAAAATAATTCATGGGTGATTTGGATTCTTGTCGACCAGCATTTCCTCCTGCTGAGTTTGCTACGGTTCATGCTGGGCTTCACAGCAAGCAAAAACAACTCCATCTGAGGATCCAGGGATTAAGAAAGGGGCTGAATGGATGAGAGGTAGAAGCAGGGTTGATTGAGAGTAAATGAGAAAATAGGAAGTAGAAAGAAATAGTCCATGTTTTCGTCAAAATATTGACTGTAACAAGAGAGACATGATGTTGTACCTAGGATTGACAGAAATTATCACCTGAAATTATTTATATTCAGAGATGGAATGCTTGAAAACAGGAAAAGATTGAATATATAGATCTGATGCAGATGAAAAATGGAAAAGCTTTTAAAGAAAAGGGAAGAAGATGGAACCTAACCAAGATGATGAGGTCAAAACAGGATAGAGAAGTGTAGGGAGGAGAGGGATGACAAGGGTAACTGCATAATCACCTGTCCTTAATTTTGTAGATTCTGAAAGCAAGGGGAAGGAGGGCAGGTGTGCTCCCAAAAGTTCAGACAGCAATGAAAGACTCAGCACTGAGGAGTAAGGAGGGAAAGGGAATGGACAGGTGCATGCAGGCGTCACCAGAAAGTCTGGAGGCATTAGAGTTGTATGACTTTTTCTTTCTCTGCTAGGTGACTACATCCTAGCTCAGTGTGAAAGGTATCATTAGTGGCAAAAAGGGCAGGCAGATTCAGTTCAGTTGTTCATATAAATAAAGTAGGGTCCATTAACTAAAATAAATATCTTATCAAAAGTATATTATTTCACTTTTACTGAACCTTTTTTTTGTGTCAGGTTGAGGAAAACAAAGAGTTCAGATGTCCTTCTGAGTAGAATGCCTTAGGAACCATGATCGCTTTGTTCAGACATAGGAACTGCAAGCTTTCAGACATCATGCATGCATCTTGTAAGGCCTTACATGCCCTCACAGAGATGTGCTTGGTTACATGCCTTGCTGTCACTCTCTTGAAATTCTTCACATTTTAAAAATGTTTTGTTTTCTTTATTTTATGTGTATGAGTGTATTGCCTGCATGCATATAATTCTACCCGTGTCATGCATGGCTCGCAGAGATCAAAAAAGGGTATCGGATCCCTTGAAACTGGAGTTATAGAATGTTGTGGGTGCTGGGAACCGATCCTGGGTCCCCTGCAAAAGCAGCCGGTGTTCTTAACCACTGAGCCAAATCTCCAGCCCCTTCTTCACATTTTTAAATAAGAACTCTACACCCATTTCCTTGTGTCTTGCAAGCTACACAGAGAGGCTTATGCACAGCATTTCATTTCCTCACCCCAAATTCCATCTCCCTGATTCGAGTCTTCTAAACATTTGGGGTCTGCCCTTGGGATCATTGCAAGCTCAGAATTTGAAACTACTTTTTTTGGCTTTTGTTTTTGAGACAAATTTTTTGTAATATAAATCTTTTGAAGTTTCCTAATTTTCAGAAGTCAGGAAGAAAATAATAAAGCAGATTTATTCAAAACATTTATGTATTAATATAACCTCTGTGTTACCCCCAAAGTATTTAGGAACTTCCAGTGTCTTTATCAGTCAATCATTGCTTTCCACAGATAAGGAAATTAGGATCAAGGGATATTAAATGATGTGCCTGGCTAGGTGGCAAGTTTTTACACAACCTGACTGCAACTGAGATTTCTTGGAGACAGGCTAATATTCTTTCTGATTCTCTAAGGTATCTTTTCATTGTGGTCATTTTTAAGCTTGTGATATATTTCTAAATTGCTATAACTCATTTCTAGTATTGATGGAAGCAATCAAACAAAAGATAGAGTGCATAAATGAGGTTGGCATATATTATGAGTTCTAAATTTTCAAGTATACCCTGATATCAGAATATATTTGACTACCATTTACCCAGTCACAAATAAGTTTTATCAAATTGTTATGCTCTAACTTGCTAAAAACAGAATAATTTCTCAAGATGACAGGTCACGGGAAGAAGGAGTGTGGTGGCTTTCACTGAACTGATTGTTAAGGTGGCTCAGAATTCATTGTATAATTATGAATAATCTATATTGTGAATGTGCCTAGAATCCCTTGGAGGAAGGGTGATGGTCTTTGCTTTCTAATGAGACACAGTCAATATTTTGTATAGTACTCAGGGAAGATGATGCTTTGTAGCTGATCCTTATGTACCCAGTAACAGTAAAATATTTATAAGTAGAAACAATGAGTACAAATTTAAACATTTATAATTAAAAGATAGTTTTAAAGTATGGACTTTAAGTAAATATGGAAGAAAAGAATCTTCAAAGTTTACCTTATCCCAGGGCTGGAGAGATGTCTCAGTGGTAAAGAGCATTTGGCTGCTCTTGCAGAGGGCCTGGGTTTGATTCCCCAGCACCCAGATGGCAACTAACAGCTGTCTAAAACTCCAGTTCCAGGGCATCCAACACCCTCTTTTGATGTCAGGCATTGCATGACATGGCTGCACTTACACATATGCAGGCAATACATTCATACACCATAAAAACAATAAAAATATATATTTAAAATGTTTACCTTTTCCCAAGGCCTCAGTTGCATTCATCTGTTATTCATGTGGCCCACAAATAATAATCTACAATACCCAATATGTATGAACATTATGATTTCTGAATACAATATTTTATTTCATCCCAAAAGCTGAACCTATATTGCATAACAATTTAGTGTCAAAAACAGGTCCAGTCGGTGGTTCACTGACCTTGGGCCACTTTTCAATCTTACCATTTTTGAAAAGGGAAGAATTCTATGCAATGAAGGAATGTTGAAGGGGTTAAATTACATCAAGTCTGTAAATTATTCACCGTGGTGCCTGTTTAATAGAAAATATTCAGAAAATAAGCTTGTACTTTTATATTAATGCAATATATTCCTAAAAATTCTCCTTTAAAGAAAAATATTGGAAAAAATAAAGAAAAATATTGGAGTTATATAATAAAAAGTAGAGTACATTTTGCACTGCTTTATAGCAACAGCATTTGAGTACCTTGATGAAAGGGCACATTATTTGATCAGCTTCAACACTGATCTTCAAAGAGAAAGGAAAGAGGTCTGAAGGTGGGTAAGGGGCAAGGCAAGATGCCAGATTAAGTAAAAGAGGCAAGGTGAGCCTCCTTGAGAAGGCCAGGTTTTGAACTGACATTTGGATATGGTACTAGAGCTAATCAAGGCATTTAATCAAGAATGAGGACAGTGAGGAAGGGTAGGCTGAGAGGAACAAGAGAGTGAATGATGGTAAAAGCTGGAGCTTGAAGGGTCTTGAGGCCATTGGAGGAAGCCAGGCATTTACTTTGAGTGAAATGAGCACACTCACAGAAACTTGAACAGAAGAATACTACTATCTCATTTGTGTATTAAAGGATCAGAATCCTGATTGCTGCATTGAAAGTAAAGAACAAGAAGGCAAGGCCAGAGTCGGTGCCAGTTATGACATAGCTGCAAGTGATGCAGGCAAAGCATGGTGGCGCTGGGAGCCAGAGTGTTAGCACCCCATCCCCAGAATTCCAAAACACTCCTTCCTATAGAGTACCTGAGTTCCAAATCAGAAGAATGAATGTCATGCTCTAAGGTCATAGCCAGAAACAGGTGCCAAACTTAAAAGTCTAACTGAAGAGAGTTTATTAGAAGAGCTATAGGAGTAGATAGAGCTAAAGGAGAGTCATGAAATAAGTTTAGGATTTGCAGCCTAGAAGCTGCTGCTACCTACAGTCCTGAAGGAGCAGGGAGAGGGAGAAATCACGAGAGCAGGTGGAACCCTTTTTAGTAAGAGAGAGCCACACAGAGGTATGCCATTCTCTGGAGGAATGCAGCCCCTGCAACAGGGCTGTGGCCCAGTGAGATGGATGCTACTGTAAAACATGTCTTGGCCTCTCTCCACTTTGTGCTGCTGGTGCTTCCACTATGGGCCAGAAAGCCTGGTTGATGTATCTGGAGCACAGAGCAGGGCGGAAGAGGCAGAGAGTGAGGAGAGGGGTCAGCGGAGGCTGCTTCGCATGATTATTTATTTTATTAGGTGTCTTCTATTCTTATTTGACCTGTTAATGATGAGATACAACATTTTTCCACTCTATAGATGTTTGCTTTACAGCATACTCTAATATTTTTTCTTCTTAAAATATGGCTTTGGATTTTTTTTTACGTATATGAATGTTATGTCTGCATGTATGTAAGTGCAGAAGAGGGAGTCAGTTCCCCTGGAACTGGAGTCATGGATGGTTGTTAGCTGCCCTGTGGGTGCTGGGACTCAAAGACAGGTCTTCTGCAATAACGGTCAGTGCTCTTAACCATTAAGCCATCTTTCCAGATACTGGCTTTGGATATTTAGGCATAAACTCATGCTTTGATACATTATTATGCATTTACATTCTACCACATCATAATGTTCATCAAACAAAACCATTTTCTGTTAGCTTATTTAAAACACACAAATGACCTACAAAAGAGTAGATGTATTACTACCTCACTTGAGTATTTTTATTCTCCCTAAAAACAGTGAGATACCAAAGTCACATGAAAGAAAAATTTTAAAAAAATTTGCTCTTATCAATATTGCCATGCCTGTAAAGTGGAAGTAGATTAAAAACAGGAAATGGAAGCAAACATAAACAGAGAATACTATTATAATTATCAACAGCATAAACATAAACATGGAAATACTGCAAAGACTGTGTATGATGCAGGCCAGCCAGTCAACCAATCACAGATAGTTATTAGCTATCAAGAAAAAAAAAGTAGTAAAAAATCAAAGCAATAACAGAAAACCAACTGAGCCACAAATACACATACATTTAAACTTGGACAACTACTTATTGAAACATCTCAGGGTTTGTGTGAATCTTTTGTGTGTACACAGAAGAACAATTTTTCATTTTAAATGCTATATGCTATGATAGTATGAGTCCTCTGGCAATGTATTCAAACAATATTTTCATTTGTAATACTGACAAGAGAAAGACACGAGTGTTTACAGCTATGATGAATTACTGCAGGCAGAAACAGAAATATAACTTTGCTTAAATTGCCAAAATAATAGCAAAATAATCAATAACTGGAACCTGAATTACTCTAATTAGACATTCGCACAGCTTCAGTTCACTAAATATTTGCCAACTCTCTCATTGGAGATATAGATCTTGCCATGTGGTAGAGATAGTACCTATATAGCAAAATGTGAAGCTTAACATTTTCTGCATTCTCACTTTAAAATGTGAGTTATTGAATGATACATGCTCTGTTGAAACCTGTACCTTAAAATGCTTATTATCTTTGGAGTTACTATTAAAAGACATACTTTTAAAATAATAATTAAACTATATGTGCTATTCACATGCCTGAGGATGATTTTATATCATTAAACTTCTGCATAAATATGCTTCAATAAGCAATTAAACCAAAGGCTCTGGTTTGCATTTTAATCCTCCCTTTTCTCTCGGAAGTTATCACAATCACATACCTTTGATCTTACAGTCATTTCTGACACCAGATTCAGATATCACAAATGCACAATTATTACTTAATAGAATGGAATTCAAAGACAATGGAATCTAATGAAATGGGGCTTTGTTTTAGACAAAAGTGAAGTCTTTTCTAATGGTTGCAAAGAAAGAGGTTTAAGCACATTGAAGAAATCAATTTATGATTGCACGTCTTCAGAGCTCTACACACCACAGTTTGGAATTGGGAATTTTTCTTGGAAAAATTAATGCTATCTGTACTTGAATGTTTCTATTATTATTCTTTTCTCTTATTTATATGGCCTTCTCCTCCCGCCTTTTTCTGCTCCTACAGGCTGTTCCACCTCCAAACTTTGAGATGCCAGTTTCCATCCCAGTGTCCAGTCATAACAGTTTGGTGTACAGCAACCCTGTCAGCTCACTGGGAAACCCCAACCTTCTGCCACTGGCCCACCCATCTCTGCAGAGGAATAGTATGTCTCCTGGTGTGACACATCGACCTCCAAGTGCAGGTAACACAGGTATGTCCTCAAAAGGACATAACATTGAAAAGTCACTGAAACAAACCCATTCTGGAAAAAGCAAAAGGTTTCTTATCTATGAGACACACTGTGGTTTCCTATTTATCTTTTTTCACTGCTTAACATTATAGTATGGTGAATACCCCATACTAGATTTTCTGTATGATAAAGTTCTTTAAAATGTCTTCTAAAATACTTCGTAATCAATAATTTGCCTAGAAAATCTGCCTGTCACTCATCTCCAGTGCCTATATTTTAACCACATGCTTTCTCAAACAATATGTCAAATATCTGCACACTTTTACTCCTGATATCTTCTGATTAAACTATTATTTTCTTTCTTCCTCCTACTGAGATTTCACCTCCTCTGTGAATTCATCCTTTATGTTCTCTGATAGCATTTGCCACACGTACTTACTAATTACTTAGGCCAATTTTCATTTATTTTTGTAATAACTTATCCCAGAAAGAATTGTGCTGGAAAGGAACTATATGATTTGTTAGCATAAGGAGTGTGAAACAAAAACAAAGCCAAGTCAGGAATGCAGCTAAGAGCATGCCACACACTCATGTACACCTGCCATACATTTGTATCAATATTTATAAGAAATCCTTACTGTTGTCCAAGTCACAACAGTCTAGGGACATGAAATTACTGCTCAGAGAAAGCCTAGCCATGTTTGGTATGCGAATCAAGCTAAGTATATTATGATGTACTGTATTGAATATGCATCTCTTTCTCCACTGGATTTGAGGAATCTTGAATGGAAGACTGCCCACTTGATTTGCCAAGCTCACAGTGGGGGCTAATTCGGTGCATGCTGAATGTGACTAAGCCATTCCTTCCTATCTCCAGAAGCAGCATCAGAACTAAGTGTATAAGTCTCATACAGCAGTTCACTGTGCATTTATGTTCTGTTTTTAAGGAAGCATTCTATCATGTATTTTTTAGTTACCTTAGGCATACTTCACTGTACTAAAGTAGTTTACTTAGAGAATAATTTTTTCTTTAGAAGATTTCATAAATCTTGAATCCGGGAAATGTGCATAAAGGACATTACTGTGCCATTTTCTGTTTTAATATTTTTAAATTTTTTCATATAAATTTTTAATAACCAAATATATTCATTTCAGATCATATTCAAATATTCTTGAATTTCTTACTTGATAATGTACACTCATTTATTTTTCTTAATTTGATACTTTTACTCTAAAACTCTAGTGGGAAACTGTAAACATTTTCTTGAACTATAATGAACATTTTTTTCTAATTCCAAAACCTTCAACCAACTAATAACAATAAATTATCAATTAGATGCAACTAGAAAAATCTCAATCAGATAATAGTCTTATTAATTTTTACTAAATTCTATTCCTTAAAAACTAAAATTAATTATTATATTCAATCTTACTGAAAGATCCCAATTCTCACAAATAAACATGGCCAAGATTTTT